TTTGTGTTTGATTGATTGAAGTTCTTGTGAAATTCGCGAGTGATTGAGTATTGAGTATTGGATTTATTGGATTTGAATTGGGACTTGAATTGGGATTTGAACTGGTGAGTGAGCATTGCATCTTGGAGAGTTTGGATGAGAGGAAATAAGTGCGGGGCAGCTGACCGGAATTCAGCTCTGCAATTACAAGTACTCAAGCATAGCCTGAAACAGCTTTGGATCTGTTCGATTGTTTATTTAAGATCATTGATACTTGATATCAGTCAAGATGTCTACATATTATCCTCGTAAGTATTTCTGGTCAACCAGCGAGAAAATTCAACTGCTAATACTTTGATAGCTCCGCCTGGAGGTAATGGAGGTAAGAAGATCACTCATATGCTAACAATATATCTGACCTCTCATTACAGCTCCCGCTCCTGCTCCCCCACAACAACAACAATACGCACCTCCACCGAGTTCTCCTCCACCAAACCAAACTTCATTTCAATACGCCGCTCCACCAACCTCTCCACCACCAAATCAAACCTCGTTCCAATACCCTGCTCCACCTGTTTCTCCTCCAGCTCAATCCTCGCATGCCTACTACCCACCTCCCCCTTCCACTTCCACAACAAGCTATACCCCTCCTCCCAATCCTCAACCTACTCCGCCGCAGCAACAACAATATGCGTCTCCCCCAAATTTCTCCCATCGTCCCTCCTACTCCGGCGGTCAGCATACACTCCCCATTCACACACCACCACCCCAACAATCCCAAGCCTACGCGTCTTCCTCCGCCGTTTCCCCCCAGGAAACACACCACCCCAACTTTGCACAACCGAGCTCCACCCCCACTACAAATACCTCAGATTATCCGCCCGAAAAACCAGCCCTCAATACCAGTCTCACAACCAATTTGGATCATGGAGCGCCCAGCGCAGCACATTTCGTAGGAGCAAGTACCACGCAAGATGATGTGGGAACATTCAACGGGGGAAGTTATCGGGTTAGTCATAGAGATACGAATAGTATTGTGACAATTCAGTTAGCGATGGGATGTCCATTGACTGTTAAACCTGGTTCGTTTTCCATTTTTTATTATTTTTCCCATCGGGTAATGCGATGTTAATTTTGGGGGAAGAGTAAAAGGAAAAGGATTAAATGATAGCTAACCCAAACAAAGGCGCAATGATCGCAATGACCCCCACCATAACCCTCAAAGGCGCCATCAAATTTTCCGTGAAGAAATTAGTTATCGGCGGCGAACTGACACATTCGACATTTACCGGTCCCGGAGAACTTCTCCTCGCTCCCTCGACTCTAGGCGATATCACGAATATTCGACTTACGGGCAATGAACAGTGGAGTGTAGGACGAGATGCGTATTTAGCTTCTACACAAGGTATTATTAAAGAGTATAAGAGACAGGGAATTGGAAAAGCGATGTTTAGTGGAGAGGGTCTGTTTGTGTATAAAATTAGTGGAGTGGGTTTGTTGTGGATTAGTAGTTTGGGAGCCATTATTAGGAAGGATGTATGTTTTCCCCCTCCTTTTTTCCTCGTCTCTTTTATTGCCCTGGCTGGTTTTATTCTTGTTTCATGAACATGAAAACTAATACCACGAAATTAGTTACAAGAAGGCGAACGATACATAGTGGATAATGGACATCTCGTCGCCTGGAACACAAAATACGTATTGGAGCGCGTGGCTTCGGGAGGAATCATTAGTGGATTGAGTAGTGGAGAGGGATTGGTGTGTAAGTTTACGGGACCGGGAACGGTTTTTATTCAGACAAGAAACCCAGTCGCGTTTGGTCAGTGGGTTGCGGCGCATTCGGGTGCTTGAGGAAGGAGAGGATGTGAAGGGGGTGGGCAAAAGGAGAAAGGGGGTGGACGGGAAAGGAAGGCGTAATTGTGGATTTTGATGGGTTTCTGCCTGTTTGGAGGGTTTTGAAAGCCTGGGGAGGGCACATAATTTGATTGGGTTCGATTCTTTTTTACTCTTTTTGATGATACCTTGTCCTTCGTTTTTCACGACTTTTATTTTACGGATATTCTTGAGGAGTTTTACCTCGAACAACAAAAAGCATTATGATATTTTTGTGTATCCATGTTTCTTTGAAGTGAATCTAGGTAACGAAGATATGTGAAGAGATGTATCTCAAAAAAAAATTGTCATTCATTGCTACTTGGCTCAATCTTTCTCAAGTGAGTGAGTATGTTGTAGTTAAGGTCAATCTTTTCCATTATGAAAACGCGATCGGATGATACAATCAAGACGGGAAAGACATAAATAGTAATACTTCAAACTCCAAATCCTACCTATCCCTCTTCCTCTCTCTCGAAGACCCTTCCTCCCTTACCACAAAGTCCAGCAAAAGCCCCCTCCCTCTCCACCAACTCCCCCGGACTCCCCCTCTCAAGCACAACAATCCTATCACTATCCATAATACTATCCAATCTATACACCACAACCAATATCGTATATCCTCTAAACATATCTCGAATAAGTCTCTTCATCATCGCGTCGGTTTCCCGATCTATATTACTTGTTGCTTCATCGAGGAGTAATAAGACACCTCCTTTTCCTTCTCTATGCGATGCACTAAGAATAACGCGGGCAAGGCCGAACAGTTATTTCTAACCTTGAGGGAGGAAATTAGACGAGGTGATTGTATCGAAACCGTTAAGAGGAGAGAAGAGAGATATTATAACCTTGTAGTTTTATTGTTTTTGTAAGTCTTATAGTTTTTAATATAATATTGTAGATCTAAAATTGTTATTAATTTGAATGAAATCTTTAAACAATATTATTTTGCTGTAATCACATTTGGAAAGCATATTTATTCAAAGAAAAAGATTATTACTAAAAATACTATTAGTTATCTCGATAATTAATATCTAATATTGTTTTATAGGAGATATCCTCTTATTCTATATTTCAAGAAATAATAATATGATTTTAGCTGTTAAGCTAAAGGAAAAATAATTATAAGATATAGCTGTTTAGGAATATTATATAATATACGAGCTTGAGGAATATTAAGACCTATTGAAAAAGTTAAATACAAGCTGATAAGAATTAATGATTTTATAATATAATATTATTTAAAATAGAAAGTAGTATAATAATAAGAGTAGTTAAAAGATTTAATATAATTATAGATATTAAAAAACATATTCAAATTATAGTTAATTGAATATAGAAAACTAGAAATACTATTTAATTTGAGATTAACACTACAAATATTATCGATTTTATAATCAACATCCAACTCGATTTTGTCTTTTAACTATATAATCAAAGAAATCAGATTCTTTGAAGCGAAAGAAATATAAAAATAGTATTTGGAATAATTTGGCTTACTCGAATAACAATGTAAAGTCAAAAGTACAAGCATATGCCGCCATCATTGGACCAAACTTGTTGTCGGCATCGAATTGACACCCCTCGGCACTGTACATATCAATCACAATCCACAATCCTATGATTGGAGGTCAACATGCACGCAAATATGTGAGCCTCCCTAATTGGAGGTATTCAGATAAGATTAGTTTCTTCGGGATCCTGCTAAAAGAGATAGAATTGATTGTAAATAGTAAGTTTATTCCAACTGCTGGGGGTTTGAAGGTCTGACTCTTGACGGCATGTAAGGCAATCACACTGCTAGATGATAGATAGTAGTGGTGTCAAAGGGAGATTTATCTCCACCCGTGGCGAACCCTTGCTCACCCAGTTGAAGTAGAAATAAGCTCGTCGAATTCCGACATCCGAAGCTGCGAATAGCATGCCCCTACAATCTAAACACTTAGACTTCGGATCTGAGATTGCAGTTCCGATTTCATGGGTTTGATATCCAATACATACGTGTCGTGTCGTATACGTAGCAAAGTAGTAATCTGTAATGGATGATGCAATTTGTTAAACCGGTTTCATGCTAGAGTCAGAGGCCGGAATGGTGCGTTTTCTGATTCAACTTTCAAAGGTACCAGTTGAATTTAGGAAACATTTAGTGATTTATCCATCTTTTATGTATCTGCCCAATCGACGATGCGAAGAGAGCAATTCTTGTGAATACTTCATAGAACTATTAGGATGCCAAAAAAACATGGTTAACGAGCAGGTAGTAGTATATCTACTAGGTACTTCAAGCTCAATTCGAAATGGTACCTTGAAATTCTGTGCCTCATGCCCGCATAAAATGCTTACCTTTGGCCAAACGCTATCTCGCGCTTACGTGGCGTTCTACGCATCAGAAATCTATTTGCCTAGGTGCGTGAGCGGGGGGTAGGCGTCTTGCTTCTCTGTCCACTTCACCCCAAAATCCACATTTGAACCAGTAGATGATCAAGTAGCAGATATATAAAAAAAGGGGATCGGGAAAAACGTCTACAATACGATTGGTTACCAGTAGTTGGGATATATTGTTGTAAGACTTTACCTCGAAATGGTGCCAGCCCATTGAGTTTGGACAGCTTGTACATCAAAACAACGAAGTATTTACAGGTATAAATCCCAATAATGAACTGTCTAGAATCGCTTATGAATACCTATCAGCTCTTCTATTCTTCTATTCACGTATGCTAAGAAAACGAAAAGATCAAGAACTACGGGTGCTCTCAAAGCTGGTCGGGATGGTTCAAGAAACATTTGATTCAGCGTCATGGTGCTTGTGAGTGTTGCGCAACAGCTTGTCCCATCTTCAGGGACATGTGATAAACCATCTTTATTATGAACGTGTTTTACTAGCCATGAGAAAGACAGAATGGCCAAACTAGAAACATTGAATCATAATCTTATTGAGTACACCAGTACGTGCTTCGTGGTATAATAACGAACATAGGACATTTGCATCGAGGAAAGTTTATGAAAAAATTACTAAAAAGTTTCGCAACAACATGACAACATATATGTAAAGAAGAAGAAAAAAGAAAATAGAATGACTGAACGTATTGTAGGCATCAAATTCTACAACGATTGACTCCTCAACAGTGGTAGGCAGATCACAGCGTAACACTTCACGATATGTCTCTTCTCACTCGCGGCGTTTTAGCCATTGTAATAAGCACGCTAGCGACGACTACGAAACAAGCCGCAGACACTATGAATGGCAAACCTTGCAGTACTTCATCCATGTCTAAACTCAATGCAAAGGTGTAGAAGTATATAGATCTAGAGAAGGTATCACCCATACTCTTCATAGTAGATATCAATATCGTAGCAAAAGCTGTATACTCTAATGAAAAGAGTTCAACAAAGATAGATTGCAAAAGGCTGCTAAGGCCAATTCTGGTGCTAAGAACAATGATGCCTATTCCAGATCAGTCATTTTCATTAAGAGTGGCAAGTTATCTTATAATTGTAGAAGAGAGCTACTGTCATATTTGGAGTGAAGTTAATAGCAATGCCCTAACAAGAAATAGAGCGCTACTTATAAGAGCAAGTGTTATATCTTTGTAGCATGAGTTGAAACTCCTTCAACACAAAATTAAAACATTCCCCAATGGCAAGTCTATAAAAAGCACGAGTAAGTTCGCTGTGTGGTCAAGAATGATAAATGTATTTGCCTAAAGGCGAGGTATATTAGCACTTGGGGCTATGGAGAGATATAAGATAATCCATCTCCGAGAAATTCATACTAAACTGCTCTGGCATATATTGAAGGATTAAAATCTGGACCCTCTGACCGAGTGTAACGAAGAACCCAGCAATTGACAATGGGATAGCACCTCTGATCTGTAGGAGATTTTTAAAATATCCAATCACCGCGTGCCTGCTGTTGATACGCTGCATTCTGGAGTCTGAGATGTTGGTATATACCGAAGCAGAATCAATCTCGGGCTCAGAAGCTGGTGACTGAGCTACCTCCCCCATTGGAAGGAGGAGGCTTAAGCATAAAGCTAAGGACATTAATGCAAGACCGACCAAGTGTGCGGCATAGTTCCCCAAAGATTTCATTGTTGCTGAACTCAGTCTAAAGCCTAGGATTGCTGCTGCCAAAGCTGTACTATACATAAAAGAGAAAACTGAGACTCTTTGAGTTGATGGTGTGATAGTTGCAGTACTCTTTATGAGAATAGCAAGGGGAACACTTGCTCTGCCCCCAATTAAGGTGAACATGGAACCTATTCAAACAAGTTTAATAAAATTCTAAGCACAAATCAGGCCATACCAATAATTTAAATTGAATTCAGTACCAATCTTAAATAGCTCAGAAACAGAATCGATCGCTAGCCGTACTTATCTGCCATACTGCTATGATACCCAACAAAAGAAGTATGGGTAGGCATTCCAAAAGTTCATAGATGTCTAAAATCAGCACCAGCTCACTTACAATTGTATAATCTTTTTGACCATTTACTATAGGTCTGTCTATATCCTGAAATGCTTTAATACATAAGTATTATTTATAAAATGCAAGTAACAAAATTGTTCGCATCGCCACACCAGTTTCGAATGAGTTCCAGAACACCGGCCAGGCCCCAGACAAACCGTTTGAATCTCAATCTTTGAGAAGAAAATGACAGAGGATCCTTCGTCCCAGAAATCCGCAATAAAGGGGTTTGCACATCTTCTTCCCCCTGTTGGTTGCGGCTGCCACGCATTATGTTTGTCTCCGATCCAACAGATAAGATCTTGAGAAGCGATCAATAAGCATAGGTATTTATCCAACGAGAATCTGAAGTTTAGATGTATGGATACCCACAGAGCAATCTGCGGATAACTCAGTCTAAAAACTGATTATACATCTGTTGGATGGAATGAGGGTCGCTTGCTGTTTTCCGATCTCAACCAAACAGTGAAAAAGCAAACAAGACTTCAGTCAACGGGCCGAGTATTACCCGAAGAGGTAGAATAATAAGAATGTGGAATCAAGTAACGTGATGATAGCAACATAGCTTTCATGATCAATGAATAAAACTTGATCGACCGAATTTCTCCAAGTGAATCAAATGCCCCATACCTATGAATGTCAGTTAATTATAAACTTGTTTGAGAGTATCAGTTCAGACATATAGCGACGTCAGTTTCACGTGACCTCCAAACGTAGAAAATACGGAAGGCACAAGCGAGTTGAATCCAGCACATGCAAACTAGGAAACAATACTAACTACCATTTCAGGCAAGCAAAGGCAAACACGGCCTCAAAATTTTCGCTCTTCAACAGCTTCACAGATCATAACATGAACCAAAAGTTCTACCTTCATCCATCAATATCAGAAATCATTGCAGAGAACACAAATCTTGAGAATCAGAAACGGTCACATCGACAAAGCCACAATAACATATGGCGACTTCCGATGGGGTTGCGGTGGAGGTGCACGGGACAACTCAGCTTCCAAATTCTATTTTGAGTTGGTACGATGAGACTCGTCCTATGTGGATTGATCTCGTCGGGGATTATGCTGGAAAAGAGTTGTTTCTTCTGGAGGGAGATTCTCTATTGAGAGAATGTTTCGCAGATGAGAGGATTGATTTCCAAGGTAATGTTTTTTATGTTTCTATTGATGCGTTGCTCTTTGATGTCCCAGGTCCTGATTCTCCTCGGAGAATTTCATATCGGGAATTTTACCAAGTGCTGGGAATACTTCTTTTGAGTACAAGATATGTGCAACATCACATACCAATGATGAAAGTCTCATGCCATTATGAAGACGATATCAAAGCGATATGAGGAATCTTTGCAATCACGTTATTTACCCAAAGGACTGTGAGCTAACAACATCTTTCAGATGGATTTCAATTGCTTCATGCCGTATATGTCGTGGAACGATTCCTTGAGAATTTAGTCAAGAGACATTGCAACTTCCACGTTGCGTTCTTCGAAGGTATGTGTTTCCTTTCCAAAATCATGCTCTTGGTCTTTTGAACTTCATTCGAAACTTTAATGCCTTCATAATCCTTGGGGCCGTTTGATAATTCTAACTTGAATGGTAGAGAATCGGCAATTATGTGTACCATCAGGAGTGAAATCCACACACCGAGCTCGGTATCTCCTCGCCCGAACAGCAATTCGACAGCATTTACACCACAGATTACCATTGTCACATCCAGAGATTGTGGTCAATACTTTCCCTTCCTTAGAGAGTGAAGAATTCTCCTATTATCTTCGTGTTACACCAATCCACTTTGTCATGTCGCACGATGGGGCTGCCACAGCAAAGCAACCTCTCTCATCGAAAGAAGAAAAGACCATCCTTCGAGGACTGATATGGTTTTTCAATTCCCACAGGCTCAATATTGCCCTCATTAATCGCATAGAGTTCAGAGATTCAAAGGTTTTCACCATGATTGTGGAAAGCATGACTGTCTCAAGCCAACGCAAGCTGCTTATTAGTTCTAAGTTTACCACAGACATTGAAGAAGCTCGTGTGAAGTTTGCCAAAGATCCGCAAGCCGATAACTCTCGTGGAATGCCGTCCATTGACGACGAAATCACCCAAAAGTTGTCTACTGCGTCGGCAAAGATTCGCTTGAGTGAAAGATCATGCGTTTCTGTTTTTTCTGCTTCTCATATTCTGAAAGAAAACACATCCGATATATTTTTCGCTTCTGCCCTCATTTTACATAGCGTTATGCTTAATCAAATTCCTCTTTCAAAGCGTCGATTTCCATCTGTTGTATTCGACAATGACTTCGAAGAAGAAATTACTAGTTTCTTGTCTTCATTTGCAGATGTTGCTCAGTGTATTCAAAACAACCCGACATGGAGCAAATTTGTTGAAACTAATGAAATTATAAGAGATTCTCATGATCTCGTCGATGGCCGATTATTTCGCGTCGTCATCCAAGCTATGTGCAACGAATCATTAGACCCCTTTCCTCAATCAATTCAAGATGAATGGCTTGTGCTTTGCAATTTGACCAAGGAGCTTTCAAGTCAAGAACTTTCCTTGGACAAAAGCATTGATTTATCCTCAGTCAAAGTTACCCCGTGCGAAGATTCCGACTCAAGCTCGGATGATCTTACAGTTTTACCCTTCACTAATACTGTCTTCAACAAGCATTTGGAGTGTATTCATGTTCAAACAGGTTCATCTCTATCTGCACAGTTTGGTACCATGAAGCTTTACAGGGAGACAAGTCATTGGCATAATCACAAGAAGCCTCTCATTACAAAAGCTCCTGTGGCACAGAAAGTGTCCAAATGGCGGTAAGTAACGCTAATTCAAGCTTAATCTCTAGATGCCTCGATTGCAGCAAAGTAGGTACTAATCAGCCTACAGTAATCCCCTTCGAACAAATCAATTCTATATGAGTGAAATGACCTCGTACGCCGCGAGTTTAACAGGAGCAAAGGGAAAAGCACTTGAACCGGAGACAATCGTGGTGGGACCCAAGCAACTGGTCAAAGTCGCTGAGGAGAAACCATCAAAGACGAGTAAAGCCGAAAAGCCAGCACCTAAATCGAAGAAAGAAGCCCCAACTGATGTATGATTATTTTACGCTTGATCAATCTAATGAAGCTAACAATAACTTCTAGAACAAAAAACCTGCAGCCAATGCTAAGAAAGGTACTAAAAAAGGTGGTGGGCTTTCAGCTGCTGATCAGATCCGTGCTGCAAATCTGGAAAAGAAAGGAGACACGGAGACTGATAAAGCTTTCCTTGCGTGGTCTATGATTATGAAGGATCTTGATTTGACCTCGAACGATGAGAATCGCTATCTCAGGGCCAAACAATATCTTAACAATCTCGACAATGCCAGAACAAAAATTCTTGAAGGAGATATCAACACCTTTATCCTCCAATGCCTACTATCTTGGTGGGCAGGGTACTGTAAGCAAAACAAGAAAATTGATGGCTACCATGTAGTCGCATTGATTTGGACTACTGTAAGATCTATATGCACTACCAATGCATCTATCACAAAAGAGATCATTCAGCATGTCGAAAAGATATGCAAATTGATTGGTATTTCAGACGCTTTCTCGTCGCCGAAAGTCCTTGGTGCTGATCGAAAGCTATCTTTTGCCTTCAAGTATCCTCCTCCGACTTTGTCCTTGAAAATTGATATTTCTCAATCGGAATTTCAGCTGGAACATTGCGGTCCTTACATGGACAGAATGCTTGATGCAAAGCCAGATCCCCGTGTTTCTAGCTTCGTTCCTGATGGTTGGCAAAGAGATGTGCTCGATCAGTTAGATGCCAATAAGAGTGTATTCGTAGTGGCGCCAACTTCTGCTGGTAAAACTTTCATCAGTTTCTACGCCATGGAACAAATCCTACGAGCTGATAATGATGGAGTTCTGGTTTATGTTGCACCAACAAAGGCACTTGTCAATCAGATTGCAGCTGAAGTCCAGGGTAAGCACTATCGCAATTGTTCCCTTTTCCTCTCTCTTTCGTCTTTGTGAGTTTAAGGAGTAAACGTTTCACTATCTTAAATCAAAGATATAGACCGAGAGAACCCCTTCCTTTCATTTCTTTTTTACGAAAGTAATCACTAACAATGCTGTCTTCTAGGTCGATTCTCCAAGAGATTTCCTCAAGCAGGTAAAGGAGTGTGGGCTATTCACACTAGAGATTATCGTGTGAACAATTCTACAGGTTGTCAAATTCTCGTCACTGTACCCCATATTCTTCAGATTATGCTTCTATCACCGACGAATGCGAAGTCATGGGCACCAAGAGTGAAACGTATTATTTTCGATGAAATTCATTCTATTGGACAATCTGAAGATGGTGTGGTATGGGAGCAACTCTTGTTATTATCACCATGCCCAATCATTGCTCTTTCTGCAACTGTGGGCAATCCTGAGCAATTTGCGGATTGGCTGGGAGAAACTCAAAAGGCAAATGGATCCGAACTAAAAATGATCAAACACTCAACCAGATACTCCGATTTACGAAAGTTCATGTACGAGCCACCTAAGAAATTCGACTTCGAAGGTCTTGGAGACTCATTCGGTCTAGGTTTAGGTCTGGATGGTCTACAAGGCTTCGAATCCTTTCACCCTGTGTCTAGTTTGGTTGACCCTTCAAGAGGAATGCCTGAAGATCTTGCACTTGAACCTAGAGATTGCTTATCGCTATGGAAGGCCATGGTCAAACATCAAAGCAAGGAGTACAGCGTTTCCGAATCATTAAATCCTGAAAAGGCATTGCCATCCTGCATTCGAAAAGCAGATATTTTTGCATGGGAAAAGAATCTCAAGAAAGTGTTGCTTCAATGGATGGCAGAGTGTCAATCACAATTTGCCAATGTGGTAAAGGAACTGACTCCAGAAAATGTTGAGACCAAGAACGATATTTCAATTGACAGCACCTCTGATTCTGCGACTGAGCCCATTGATCCGTTGGATCTACAAGCTACAACCCTGCCATTACTTTATCAATTGCACAAGCGTCGTGCTCTACCAGCTATTTTGTTCAATTATAACCGATCTGCTTGTGAGAGCATTTCGAACACTCTATTGAACCAGCTAGTTCAATCCGAAGAACAATGGAAGAAGGGATCAGCTTGGAAAAAGTTGATGGACGGCTATGGAAAGTACCAGGAAACGAAGGCAAAGAAAGGACGTAAACCGGTCAAACCATCGAAGAAGTCTACCCAAGATGACGAAGGCGGGTCAAAGATGGACCGAATGCGTGAGGATGCAACAGATGGATCTTCTTTCTACGATCTATTCGATCCAACAGCCCCCCAGGCCGATTTCTCATTTGCTGATCCAAAGCGTCTGCAAAAAGAAGAACTCGATGGTTTCATCCGACAACTTCGTCGCAAGGAGATCAGAGAAGATTTGATCGATTTGCTGAGGAGAGGTATTGGTGTGCATCATGCTGGTATGAATCGAAAATACCGACAATGTGTGGAAATGTTGTTCCGTAAAGGTTTCTTGAAAGTTGTCATTGCAACTGGTACACTTAGTTTGGGTATCAATATGCCATGTGCTACTGTTGTATTCTCTGGAGACTCTGTATTCTTAACTGCCTTGAATTTCCGTCAGGCTGCAGGTCGTTCAGGTCGTCGTGGTTTTGATCTACTCGGTAACGTTGTGTTCCAGGGCGTCTCTAGAGAGCGAGCAAGTCGTCTTCTCAGTTCTCGACTTCCTGAGCTTACTGGTCACTTTCCAATTACGACAACATTGGTATTACGATTATTCTCCCTCTTGAACGATTCTAAGAACTCGCCATATGCTGTTAGAGCTATCAACTCTCTTCTTTCTCAACCTAGACTGTATCTTGGCGGTCAAAGTTTCAGAGAGCAAGTTCTTCACCATTTAAGATTTTCTATCGAGTATCTACGCAGAAACGCACTTCTTGGACCCGGCGGTGAACCGGTCAACTTTACTAGTTGTGTTTCGCATCTTTACTTTACAGAAAATTCAAGTTTTGCATTCCATGGTAAGTGACCCTTCTACTTCGCATGAGTTTAGTAAAGAAATTTCAGGACGCGAGTGTGACCTTCCAATATCATTGACATCTCTTTTTATCGAGTTTCTACGGGTTTGTATTGTATTTAGTTGCATTTTGTTTACTAACTGGTGCCAGCTCTTCTCAACGGAAAATACTTCCATAAGCTCTGTGCAGATATTGATACCAATTCTGATGAAGTACTACGTACAATGGTTCTAGTATTGAGTCATCTATTTGGTCGTAGAGTTGTTAGAGAAGTCGATGATCCCGAAGAGGCAGAGAAAATTCATCGTTCGCCATCGAATGTGTATCTCGAACCCATGCCAGAAGATGCAGCTAACATACTTCGCGGTCACAACAAGAGTACTTTAGAGGTCTTTTCGACATATGTAAAGACGTTCGCGGAGCAACACATCACTGAAGACGAACATGCTTTGCCATTCACACAAAGTCCAGTCGGTCCAAACGAAACAAAGACGAATGGAAACACGACCCTTAATTTCCTCCCTTCTTTGCCTAGTCCTCAAGCCAGATCACCATTTGTAGCTCTATCTGGTCTGGGTGACTATTTTACTACCATTGAAGATCTTTGCAGCTCCACTCGCGAAGGCGTCTTCCTCGAAGCAGCTGTCATTCCACATCTAGAACTTCACCCTGATGAAACCAGATCACCTTTAAACTCATATCTTCTTGATTTCTTCAAGCATGGCTCTCTACAACCCCTCGAGGACGCCAATGGTATCCGCAGATCAGACGTCTGGTTCGTACTCAATGACTTCTCTATGGTACTAGCTACAATCGCCACATCCCTCGCCTTACATCTTGGTCTATGTCAAGACACAGATTCAGAACTTCTTGATGTAATGGGAGCAGGAGATTCCGTTGAGAACGAGAATGATGAGAAAATGGCCGAAGATTCCATTCCACAAGCTGTTTCTGGACCAGCCGGTGAAGTTCAACAAGCTCAGCCAGTTCGCAGAAAAAAGGTTGTCGATGATTGGGATGCGGGTGAGGATAGATTGGCTGCTGAAGAGGATTATTTGGAGAAGGAAAAGGAGAGTGGTGCCGGTGTGACAGATGATGAAGAGTATGAAAAGTTGATGACTGTTTATCGGGCGTTCAGGAAGTTGAAGACGGAATTTGATGAGAAGTTTAGAGCTATTTGGGCTTAAATGGATGAATTAATGGAAGGGATGCATAAATTGGTCGAAATTGTTTTGATCACGAGAAAGCACATTCCTGGTTTGAAAGTTCTATCACTCTGGATAAATTGAAAAGCTTTAGATGAAGAAGAATTTGATAGAGCCTTCTTCTTGAGTGAGTTACTTTCAAATAGCATGGTCTGACTCAAACTAATACAATAAAAACTTATCGATTCAATCATGCCAGTATTCTTTGCTTTATGTTTAAATCGATTGGCAGTAAGAACCCCAAAAGAAGAGCCTTGAGCAAAACCAAAACTGTTTCTAGGAATTTTCACTCCTGGTGACCAGTTTCATGCAAACAATATCTACCGTTGTTGCAACGTATGCACAATGCATTACCTTACGAGTTACAATGCCAAAGGACGGTAACTAGCATTGTAACGTGGTCTCGGCCAGCGATAACAGACTTGCAAAGTAGAAGTTTATTTCGCGGTTGTGACTTCAATGCGGAGCACGCCGACGAAACCAGCCAGCATCTAATACCCGCACCTATAGTAACCCTTGTATCGAGAATATACACGGAATGTAACACGGCTAAGATCCGATGGGTTAAAAATACATGTTGGTGTTGACCGAAGAAGCCCTCGGACTCGACCTATTTCGAGCTATTGTGTTAGTGGGATTGCCGTTATTGATTACTAGAATCTAGGCACATTCATACCCCACGCTCGCAGGTGAGACTGGGCCTTTCTTTTTAACTTTATTCTTAAATTTCACCGAAATCCTTTAGGTGTAGAACTATTGAAATTTGAAGCTCGTTTTCTTACTCTGTACCGTGTAGTCGAACGTTGTGATGAACTATGGGGTCCGGTCCCCTTAACCTTAATATGACGTCCCATGTACGTAGGGCAAGAAGCAGGAATGCCATCATACTTTGGGATCTGGATGAACTATTCGATCTCAACTAGAGTGACCTTAGAATATGGTCTCGGATGTTATAGTTATCTGCCAAGCCACTCTGAACTCATCGAAGAAACTATTCGGGAATAAGGTCACTGGACTCTACTCTTCTCTGTGCTAAGTCTAGTGCTCTATCTAGCAATTGGCAAATATTGAGAATGATTTCTCATATCACAGCAACCGCCGTATATCAAGAAGTGAAGAAGATATCTCTACTATCACGAGACTCGTGGCTTTAACCTTGCCCGACAAAGGAATTATCACCAAATCCCACCGTAATCTCGTGACATCTTCATGAATGAAATGTAATTGTGATCTAAGAATGAAGAGGGCGCGGGACATGTTACATGCCAGTATGTACACGACACATACATCAGCATCAAGCTTCAACATTACTCCCCACGTTTGCGGGGAGATATTTCTTACATAAGCACACTAGAATGGGTAGTTTCTTGGCCCTCGGCTTTTAACGGGTAAGGTTATGTATGCAAGGGGGTGAAGCCTTTTTATTTGGTGTCTAAGCTTTCTCCAACTTTCGCCAACTTTTGCACCAAACCAAAACTGCCGAAGTTTGGAAATTCCCCAGTTTCTCCAGAAAAGAAAAATCCTTAAAGTATCATCACCAATAGAATACTGTTTCTTTCTTGCATATGGGGAATCTCTAAGTTTCTATGACCGGGCCAAGAGAGTTAATTGGATCCATTGTCATATCCTCTGGAGAAGTCACTCAGGATTTGCACACCACCTTCCTAAATTGTTGACAATGACCCTTTTGGTTGGTTGTACAGTATCCAGAGAACCATCAGCAGCATGAGCTTGCTTTCCTGCTTAGTTCCCATGCATGTGTGTATAAGATGGATCTGCTGCCCCCGAATCTTTTTTCATCTTGTTATCGTCTGTCCTACTTTGCTCTTTCTCATTTCCTATACCTCCTACATACATATAAGCATATATGATTGAGAAGTCTCTTCCAGCATCCTAATCTCATACATCAACATACGCGGAGTATATACTTTGAAGTATCAGAACTTCTCAATCATGGCTTGCGGTATAGGTAGAAAACGCGAAAGATATTATGGCTGCAAAGGTAAATCACTGAATCGTTTGATCACTATTGTTTCTGGGCTGGATTTTTTGTGAGTAGTATTTTATTCTTTTCACTTCCTGCAATTCGCAGCAGAACATTTACTCCAATCTGCCACTGAAAAGAATTGTGGAGATGGCCCGCTCTGGAGAAAGGCGGAGGCGGAGGTGGGGGTGAATGCTACCATTGAACGTTACCTTCCTTATGACGAAGACGTTACATTTCCGATGTTTTTCCGGTTTGAGTCGCGTAAGAAGAATTCACAGCTAACTCTGTCATAGGCTCTTTGGTTACGATCAAGGTGTTATGTAAGTTTGTACTTCAAAAGAATTCCCATTCACGATGGGCGATGGGCGAAATAAATGGCACTTTGATATGAGATCTCAAGTATATAAACCTCAAGGACCATTTGATGATGAAATCTGATATGGTGTGTTGTAGAGAGAGTGTGCTTGTTAGCCACAAATCCAAGATTGCTGTGCGGTTGATTTCGCCCATGATTTGCCATCTGACAAAAGTCTTTAGTAGTTGAGCTAACATTTTGGTAGGGGAGGATTGCTAACTCTCCCATCTTTCGTGGAAACGTTTCCAGAAATCGATACCACCAATGATAAGTCATACCACACAGCTCTTTATCAAGGTTTAGTAGTGGCCTCGTACAATCTGGGTTGCTTTGGTGGTGCCGTTGTTACTATCTTTCTTGGAGATCGTCTTGGTCGTCGTCGGATGATATTCCTTGGTTCTTCAATCATGATTATTGGAGCGATCCTTCAGGCAACTTCCTTCAGTATTGTGCAATTCATTATTGGACGAGTGCTTACCGGTTTTGGAAATGGCATGAATACAAGTACAGTCCCTACATGGGCTTCAGAAACGTCCGAATCTCACGAAAGAGGGAAATTGGTCATGTTCCAGGGTGCTATGGTTACAGGAGGTATTGCACTATCGTATTGGCTTGATTTAGGAACATCACGGGCCGGAAATAATGGTGTGTCTTGGAGGTTTCCAATTGCTTTCCAGATTTTGCCAGCGGTCATCATACTCATGTCCATCCTTGAGCTTCCAGAATCCCCTCGGTGAGTGTTTTCTCCTATGTTTGGCCTCATTCGATCTAACGAATCTTCTAGTTGGCTCGTCTTGAAGGGTGATATCGAAGAGGCTCGAGCTGTCCTTACAGCACTCGAGGTTCCTTCCACGGGTTCTAGTGACGCATCAAAGCAGGTCGACGAAGCGGCTATTGAACTCCAAATGGCACAGAGAGTTGAAATCAAATTGAAGGAAATCACTAGTCAAGTTGACGAAGCGGCGAATACTGGCTATCGTGATATGTTCACTATGGGCCCAGATCGTAACTTCCATCGTGTCATACTCGCATATTTCGTCCAAGTCATGCAGCAAATCTCCGGTATCAATGTTATTACCTATTATGCCGCTACAATTTTCGAGCAGTATATACATTTGAGTAGCGAAACTTCCCGTTATCTCGCAGCTGGAAATGGCACTGCATACTTTGCTGCTTCCTTCATTGCTCCCTTTACAATCGAGAAGTTTGGTCGTCGTAAATCTTTATTACTTGGTTCAATTGGATTGATAGCAAGTATGGTCATCCTCGCTATCATGACACGCTTGTCAGAAGAGGGTATTGGTGGTAAAAAACCGGGAATTGTTTCCACCACTTTCCTCTTTGTCTTTAACACCTTCTTCGCAATTGGATGGCTCGCGATACCCTGGTTATACCCGGCTGAGATTGTTCCCCTCAAAATCCGTGCACCAGCTAATGGTTTATCAACATCTGCCAATTGGATTTTCAATTTCATGGTTGTGATGATCACACCAGTTGCATTCAATTCGATTGGCTATAAAACCTATATCATTTTCGCTGTTATCAATGCTGCCATGTTTCCAGCCGTCTATTTCTTCTATCCAGAAACTGCATTTAGGTCTTTGGAGGAAATGGACACGATATTTCAGAACACGACTAGTTTCTTTGATGCAGTTAGCGTTGCAAAGAATCAGGCGCATAGATATGGAGCCGATGGAAAGTTGTTGGTTGCTCCCGAGATCATAGAAGAAATGTCGGGTGGGGGAGTATTTGTACAGAATGATATTGGAAAAGACAGTGAGAATGGGACAATAGTCCATAGGGAGAATGTTGCAGATGATAGTGGAGGAAGTACGACGAGCCCAAAGAATTAGCATGGGGTTGATGTCAGGTAGTCACTAATTTTGGTGGCTAGATTATGAAGTTGAGAGAAAGAGGTAGCTAATTTATATACCCAGTGTTTACAGTCACCGGCGGTTCAAGGTGAAGAGCTATTGTTTTCTTATTGCCAGCTTCTTCATCTAGATATCTAAAGATTTAAGACTTGTTGAAAAATATCAATGGCGTTTGGAGTACCCGACTCTCGTTGAAGCTTTCGTGCATATGCATGCTTGTGATGAATTAAATGATACAGTCTTATATATGTTCCTTCTTCCATCATTGACCGTGAGACGGAGATTCAGTCGTCACCTCGTCCCCTCGTCAGGAACCCCGACTATCATCGACACTGTATCGTAATTGAAATCCCTATATCTTCCCTCGTAGTATAGTCCCATAATGGAAATAATAGATATACCTACTTAAGAATCAACGACTTCGGAATTCAAACTACTAGAAACATCTACCCCGCTGGTAACTTGAGCACTCCCTCTATATAGAATCATAGATATGTATACGCGTATCAAAGACGACATAAACGCAAACTCTACTTACTCATTAACCATTGTGTTCCGAGGATTGCAAGCTATGGGGCTGTCTACTATCGCACAATGATGATGCTATTTTCATGTGGAAGAATGTCTGAGATAGATAATTACTGTTTTCGATAATTGATCGAATGATCGGGATTTAGGAATGAGGATTACGAAGAGAACAATTATATAGTGTATGTAGGAATTTCAAGATCGTTATTATACCTACTGATGGAAATGTTTTCAATGT